CTTCCAAGGAAAGGCACTTGTGTTACTAGATTGAATTATTAAATATCGATATAATCATTTAAATTTTTTTTTATAAATACTTATAAAAATATATTATCAATATATTGGGTTCCTGCCTAGAGAAAGAAAGTCTTATTCCAAATTAATACCGAAAGGACATTTCAATATCTTGTTTTTTTAAGTAGGCTTGAGAAGGGTAGGCTCGCAGCTTCGCCAGAAGCGACGAAGGGGGGCTGGGGAAGGCCGACGACTACATGAGGGGGTATACAACATATATATTGTCAATGAATTGCTAAGTGTCATGTGGTAACCAACGTAAATTAGAAACATCGTGAGAAGAGGAGAYGRYTTTGGTGATAATCYCATGATTCTTTATCTGGRGAAAATTATTTTTATATTAAAGTATTATAAAGACATCTCTAGGAAGTTTTAATGTATTAAGGTATTAATGTTGAYCATTGAYTTAATAGTATCMCAACCCCACACTAAATGTGAATGTGTCAAATATAAACAATTATTTCTTTCAAAAGTATGAACGAAATACTCATGATGTTACAATGAGTTTGGAAATGCTTTATCCCTCAAATCCAGTGAATATTCCGATAAGATAATATTTACATGGTGAAATGAATGCGCTCGACTTTATCGGTCCAATAATACATGTCATGTATTTTATGAAAACTTATTTATTTTAAAAAGTGAATACAATATAAAAGATTTTATGTTACTCTTATGCATATATCTTTCTGAAATATAATCAAATTTTTTTCGAACACATTTTCACGAAACATTTCTTTCATCATCTTCTGATATACAGTTGCGTCTTTTTACATTTACTTTTATTTCTTCTCCCTATATTATTATTACTTGAAAAATATTTCATAATCTTGTATTTACTTTTGTTTACTTACTTATTTTCGTTTTTTTATTTAAATTTTAGTCTCTAATAATTATAAACAATTTTTGTTTTGATAATGTGGACACCTTAGAGGAAGAGAAAACTCCCTATTATATAATAGATTATAGTATTGATTACACTTGAATTTTAGAAGGAAACAAAGATCATATTAGATCAAATTTTACATAATCAATTTATAACCAAAAAAAATCAAAATTTTAAAATGTGATAAAACATTCTAGGGTATATTAAAAAAAAAAAAATTAGATAAGGATATATTCGTTGTCATTTTACATGCCAAAAACCCATTGAACTTTTCCAATATAGAAAACAAAATTCCAAGAAACCATGGGCGGATCTATGTACAAGGGAATGGGGGCAGCTGTCCCCACTAGATTTTCTAAATTATTTAATTATTAAAGAAACTTTTTGATTTAATTGGTTAATTTAGGTAACTTCTTTCATATGCCCACTGCTCAATTACAGCTCAATTACAGCTTTCCCCACAACACTTATTTTTTCAGATTTTTGTTTCCTTTCCCCCTCCTAAAATTTAGTGTTTATCTTAATTTTCTATTTATTATAAAATATTTTTGTCGTTTCAATTTAATTATCATTCTACAATTTTTCACATAAATTATCTACAATTTTTCACATAAATTAAAAAAATAATTAAATTTGTTTGCCTTTAATTAATGCATTATTTTATTTAATATGTGTAGTTAATAAGCTAAAAAATAGGAATAAAAAAAAATTAGTAGTAAATATGCATTAAAATTGCAGAATGACAAGTAATATGAAATAAAAAAAATTAAGTGTAAAATGACAACTAATATGAAACAGAAAGAGTATTATTAATGTATTATTTCCTTAATTTTGTTAATCTAGTTTTCGAAATTTTCTTATTTCCTTTTAATTCTCTTTGTTTGTTTTGAATAATGTCATTTTACCAAAATTATTAGTAAATATGATTATCTTTGAATTAAAAGCAACTTAAAAACGTAAAAATAGGTTATATTTTTCAAAAAAAAGATTTGTTGATATATTTATAGTTTTATACCTAAAAATATAGTATTATATTATGCCCCCAGTAAAATTTAATTCTGGATCCGCCAGAACAAAGAGGACTCGCACCACATATTCATATGTATAAATACACAAACCCCCAAAGAGGACTCTTCAACTTCTCTTCCCAACTTTTGAGTATTCCC